CCCCAGATTCTCCAGTCCTATGGGCATGTCATACTTAACTCTTAAACATCCAGAGTAAATGACGGAGCTCTCATTTCAAGTAACTTGGGTAATCCATCCCCTCATCACCATTCCTTTACTCCTGAGGATTCCTGGGGTCAGACTTAAATGTTCCTGGTGATTGCCATCCACTGCCTGCTCCAAGTTCAACTTTTGATTTCTTCTCTCCAAATCTTGCATGTGATGCATCTGCCCTTTCTCATCTTGTTTCACATTGCCCTAAACATGGACATAGTCCTACCTCCTTCCTTCTCCAAAACACCATTCTTGCTTTTGACAGATGTTGAGACCTGTTGGGGAGAAAGAGGAACAAAGAACAGAATTCAGCATTACGGTCCCACCGTGACTCTCTTTCTCACCTTTCTCTTGCTCAGTCTGGACTCCCTTCCATTGAACCTGTTCTCATAACTTCTCTCAGTCTTCCCTCATATCCTCTTAGTTCAGTGCTGAGATGCCACCTCCTCACTTTCTATTGTAACCCTCTTTTTTAACTTTTATTTTAAGTTCGGGGGCACATCTGAAGGTTTGTCACATAGGTAAACGTGTCCGGTGGGCAGGGGGGGGGTTGTTAAACAGATTATTTCATCACCCAGGTATTAAACCCACTACCCAATAGTAATCTTTTCTGCTCCTCTTCCTCCTCCCACCCTCCTTCCTCAAGTAGACCTCAATGTCTGTTGTTTCCTTCTTTGTGTTCATCAGTTCTCATCATTTAGCTCTCACTTATAATTGAAAACATGCAGTATTTGGTTTTCTGTTTCTGCGTTAGTTTTCTAAGGCCGATAGTTTCTGGCTCCATCCATGTCCCCGGAAAAGATATGATCTCATTTTTTTTTTATGACTGCATAGTGTTCCATAGTGTATATGTATCACATTTTCTTTAACCAGTCTGTCACTGATGGGTATTTAGGTTGATTCCATGTCTTTGCTATTGTGAATAATCTTGCAATGAACATTTATGTGCATGCGTCTTTATGATAGAATGATTAATATTCCTCTGGGTATATACCCAGTAATGGGATACTAAACTATACTATAGGGGGGTACAGTAACCAAACAGTATGGCACTGGTACCAAAACAGGTACATAGACCAATGGAACAGAATAGAGAAACCAGAAATAAGACCACACACCTACGACCATCTGATCTTTGACAAAGCTGACAAAAACAAGCAATGGGGAAAAGACTTCCTATTCAATAAATGGTGCTGGGATAACTGGCTAGCCATATGCAGAAGATTGAGGCTGGACTCCTTGCTTATACTCTATACAAAAATCAACTCCCTATGGCTTAAAGACTACCCAAAACTATAAAAACCCAGAAGACAACCTAGGCAATACCATCCTGCACATAGGAACAGGCAAAGATTCCATGACAAAGACACCAAAAGCAATAAAAACATTGGCAAATGGCATCTAATTAAACTTAAGAGCTTCTGTACAGCAAAAGAAACTATCAACAGAATAAACAGACAACCTACAGAAAGGGAGAAAATATTTGCAAACTATGCATTTGACAAAGGTCTAATATCCATCATCTATAATGAACTGAAATTTACAAGAGAAAAACAACCCCATTAAAACGTGGGCAAAGGACATGAATAAACACTTCTCAAAAGAAGACAGAGATGTGACCAACAAACATTTGAGAAAAGCTCAGCATCACTGATCATTAGCAAAATGAAAATCAAAACCACAATGCAATACCATCTCATACCAGTCAGAATGACTATGTATTAAAAAGACAAAAAATAACAGATGCTGATGAAGTTGTGGAGTAAAAGGAACACTTATACATTGTTGGTGAGAGTGTAAAGTAGTTCAACCACTGTGGAAAGCAGTATGGCAATTTCTCAGAGAGTTAAAAGAAGAACTACCAGTTGACCCAGCAACCCTCTTATAGGGTAGTTTAATTCCCTTTTATTCTATTTCTGTCACCTAGATAAACCTGTGCATACATGAACTTGGCTTAACAACAATACATTTCCCTGAGATAAATTATTTTGCTCCCCTCCCTGAGATGAGCCTCATCTCATTCATAAAGCATCAGAAGAGTTCAGTTCATGTCTATCTCCCTCAGATAAGGTATATGATGAAGGTGACTGTAGTTTCCTATTTTTTAAAAATAGCAATAGTTGCTTTGTTATATTAACATACCCAATACAAATATATTGGTTAGCTTTTGGAAAAATAGATAAAATCTAGTTTCCAACATTGGGAACAAATTTGATCCCAAGAAATTTCCAATCAGATATTTTCATATTGATGTCAGTGAACAAAATAATTCTTTAAACCCCGTTTTTCATTTACTCAACAGATTGAAATATTTCCTAAAGTTGAATATTGACCTAGAACTTGGAATATCTATACCACATTGGTTTACACTAGGTTCTGTTTTTATCAAGATTCTTTGGGTCACTTTCTCAATGGAATTTGCCTCATAATTACCTAAAAGGGAAGATGCTTCTGTGTATGTTCATTTGTTGCAGGGTAATATTGTCATCCATAGCTGCTCTGCAATGCACAAAACTGAGTACTCATGGTATACAGGGAGGCATATAGGGAGATTCATCTCTGTTCCTAGATCTTTGTAAAGACTTTGGCACAGAGACAATACTCAGTAAACATGTTTTAATTGAACTGACTAATTGTTTATTATTTCTGCCCTATGATATCAGAACTACAATAAGCTCTGAACATACATCCAAGGAAAAAGAGTATATTTCAACTAAAACTGACTTGATGAAATCAGAGAACACAGGAATTTCTGGATATTTGCAGATGGAGTTTAATAAATAGGAATAAAAGACTCAATAAAAAAGACACACACACACACACACACACACACACACACACACACACAGAGCAAATGGAAGCAGCCAGACAAAAGCAATGAAGAACAACTAAAACTAATTAGGGAAAGAAAAATAAATTGAAATAAGAATTAAATGACAACATTTACTGGTCAGCTTATTGAAATTTATGTTGCTTGATGGAAATCAACCTTTCCTCTGTGTTTGTAAATATCTATTACAGAATTACCCCAACTCAAGAGATAGTCATTTAGTGATAACTAGTAGAAGTTCCTGATAATGGAGATGAAAGAAATTTGATCTGGGGATAAAAAAGAAGAGACATAAGAACAAGGGAGTTGGATTTCTCAAAAAAATGTGGAGTATCCCACACTAAAATTGTATCAAAGAAATGTTTTTTCTGCAAATGTTATAGCCAAACATTAATTGGGAGGGTTGCTATTTAAAAGGCAGCCTATCTGGTTAAGGGAGATGAGCCAGAAGGAGATCTCCTTCTGAAGAAGAAGATTCAGAGACTGAAGCTTCTGTCTGTCCTCTCCTTACCTGAGTAAGGAAGGAGGCAAATCATTGTGTGTTATTTTTAACGCAGTGAAAAAAAAAATCTGGTTTACATCATGTTGAAAACAAAAGTAACACCACATGTTGTGCCCACCGAGAGTCATTATGATAATGCATCAGTCGGGAAGTGCATAATTGCTCAGCTCAGAAATGACACCAAGTCACATCACTGACACCAGCACATTTTCTGCAGTTAGTGTTTGGTTCTTTTTTCTCTGCCAGGTTAAAAATAATAATAATGATGATAACAGAGCCTCTCTTCAGCCACCGAAATGCTGATTTTCTTGTAATGTCTTGTTTGCCGGCAAACTCTTATTTAGGAAGACAATTCATTGTCTTTGGAATAAAATATTTTGTAATAAATACTCACAACCCTCATTTATTTTCATTGAACGGAAGTTTTATTCTTTCTACTTCATTCCAATTCCACCTTCTCCTAGAGCATATCCTATAGTTACCTCTCCCTCTTCTGAAATATAAGTAGAACATCAATTATCCTAGGCTATTTATTATTTAGCCTATTATTTGTCTTGGTTCATCTCTTGGGTTGAATTAAATCTGGGAACTTTAGCTTAATCCATGCATGACAGTCAAGGGTCTTTGAGCATTCTATAATCATATGCAGAACTGTGTGGGTATGTATTGTTTGTGTATTTTTCTGGAGAGTCAGTTACTCTCACTAAATCATAAAGGGGACTTGGGAACCAAAAGTAGCTCAAGACATTTAATCCTAGAAGCACAAAGAAGGTGTAAGTTGTCTCTCATACTGCTTTTCCCAAATCCAGTTTAACACTTCAGTAATGTTAACTAATGTGTCATGGTTCTAAGGGCCTTTACTTTATTAGCTCAGTGAATCCTTGTAGCAGTCTATGAATGGATTATATTATCACCCCTGTTTTACAGATCATAAAACTGAGACACAGGTTCATAAAGTTGGTAAGAGGGAAAGCCAGGCTTCATACTCAGGCAATTGGGTTTTAGAGACCATGCTCTTTATTACTGCCTGTACTGACTGTGTATGTAATATGCATGTATTAGAAGGCCCATAAATAGAAACTCATTATTATTGTAGATTTCTGAATAGCAGGTTTGCTTTTTTAGTCTCAAGATTACAATCAGTGGAAATGCACTAGCAGACTAATTCATGTATTTTATAAGCACTTATTACACATCTTTCATCTGCTTACCATTGTGCAGTAATTCACTTAAATTATCTCATGTAATGCTTGTAGTTGCATTCAAGGTAAGTAAGATAATCCACATTTTACAGATGAGGAAATTTAAGTTCTGAGAGGCTCATCTCACAAGCCTCATCTCGTTCATAAAGCATCAGAAGAAGAGTTCAGTTCATGTCTGTCTCCCTCAGATAAGGTATTCCTTAGCTTCTCTGCAGGGATAGAATTTCAGTTAAATACTACAAACATTACTAAAGGGTCTTCTGAACTTGGGGACAAGATTTATAGAAATCCACCTAGTTATTGTCAGTCCAAGGCAGCATCTTTTTTTATATAGAGACGAGAGTAAAAAATCATTTATTTGAGAAAATCATCATTACTGTGCTCTTTTTTTCCATTTTAATTTTTACTGTTAAAGATTCTTGTCTGAATTCCAGACTAATAACTACCTTTCTCATGTCACCACCTGAATATCCACTAGGTATCTCAAATCTATATTCCTGAAACCAGAGGCCTGATGATACAAAACTGCTCGTCCTTCATTCTTCTCCTCTCCAATAGTGGCAATTCTGTCTTCTCAGGCTCCTACGCAGAAATCACCGGGGTCATCACTGATTCTTCCCATTTACCCATATCCTACTTCCAAACTGTTGGCAAGCCTTGTTGGATCTAGGAGTATAATACATAAAAACTCCCACCACTTCTCTTCACCTCCCAGCTCGCTGGTCTATGGGACCTGCCCCCACCTATCCCCAGGTGATTATAGTAGCCTTCTCACTGTTCTCCCCACCTCTGTCCTTATGCTCCAGTACTCTCTTCTCATCTATGTGGCCAGGGTGACCTTATTAAATGTATATTGTGTCATCCTAATGTGCTGTTCCATACAGAAACCATGTTTTGGTAGTGAAGTTGAAACTGAAATTAATTTAAATGAATGCAACTTAAAATTCAGGTCTTCAGTCATACTTGAAACTCAAGTCCTAAGCCACCTTTCAAGTGCTCCATAGTAACAAGTGGTGAGTGACAATCCTGCTGGACAATGCGGATATAGAATGTCTCCATCGGTTCAGAAAGTTCTATCAGACAGCATTGTGGTGGTTTCCCATTGGGCCCCAAGTGATCTGGCTCCTTCATCCACTCCCCACCCCTAATCTTTCCAACCTTATCTCCTTCCCCTCTGCCCTCACTCATTCAGCTCCAATTTCACTGGCTTCCCAGCTAGTTCTTTAACGGGCCAAGTATCATCCTGCTTCAATGTCTTCTGGAGTGTCTGCTTCATCTGTCTCCTGGAGTCATCTTCCACCTGATATCTTCATGGCTTGCTGTCAGGTCTCTGCTAAAATATCAGGTTATTAGAGAGGTTCTGTGACCACCCTAGTTAAAACAGCAACCCATCAAAGTCTTTAACCCTCTTAGCACTTACTCAGATTACTTTTTCATTTAGCATTTATCACCATATATTTACTTATTTTTCTCTCTCCTCCCATACTCCTTGAAATATGAGCTGCACAAAGGACAAGATTATTATTTTGTTTTATTCTAAGCATCTAGTGTACTTTCTGGCAGACTGCAAATGAAAGAGAGAATAAATGAAAGCATGAATTGTGTTTGATTGCACAGGAAGCAGTGGCTGGGACAAGCTGTGGAAAAAGTACGGATCACGCTTACCCCAGGATGACCTGTGCCTATATGTCACATCAGATGACCTCACTCAGATGCTGGACAACCTAGGGCTTAAGTATGAGTGCTACGACCTTTTGTCCACGTTGGACATATCTGATTGCTTTACTGATGGTAATGAAACTGCAGACCTGCTTTGGGATTTTTGGACTGAAACCTGCAACTTTAATGCCACAGCACCACCTGATCTCAAAGCAGAGCTTGTGAAAGATCTACAAGAGCCTGAATTTAGTACTAAGAAAGAGGGGAAGGTTCTTTTTAATAATAATCTGAGTTTCATAGTGATTGGGGCATAATTATCAATCACAAAAGTATATTCAAAAATTATATTTTGAACAACTCTGATTGCTCATTTATTTCCATATTAAAATTACAAACACATACGTTAATGTAGATAAAGCACTGTTTGGATATGAGAAGTAGTGAATTCCAAGACAAGTCTATGAATGGATTATATTATCACCCCTGTTTTACAGATGATAAAACTGAGACAGGTTCATAAAGTTGGTAAGAGGGAAAACCAGGCTTCATACTCAGGCAATTGGGTTTTAGAGACCATGCTCTTTATTACTGCCTGTACTGACTGTGTATGTAATATGCATGTATTAGAAGGCCCATAAATAGAAACTCATTATTATTGTAGATTTCTGAATAGCAGGTTTGCTTTTTTAGTCTCAAGATTACAATCAGTGGAAATGCACTAGCAGACTAATTCATGTATTTTATAAGCACTTATTACACATCTTTCATCTGCTTACCATTGTGCAGTAATTCACTTAAATTATCTCATGTAATGCTTGTAGTTGCATTCAAGGTAAGTAAGATAATCCACATTTTACAGATGAGGAAATTTAAGTTCTGAGAGGCTCATCTCACAAGCCTCATCTCGTTCATAAAGCATCAGAAGAAGAGTTCAGTTCATGTCTGTCTCCCTCAGATAAGGTATTCCTTAGCTTCTCTGCAGGGATAGAATTTCAGTTAAATACTACAAACATTACTAAAGGGTCTTCTGAACTTGGGGACAAGATTTATAGAAATCCACCTAGTTATTGTCAGTCCAAGGCAGCATCTTTTTTTATATAGAGACGAGAGTAAAAAATCATTTATTTGAGAAAATCATCATTACTGTGCTCTTTTTTTCCATTTTAATTTTTACTGTTAAAGATTCTTGTCTGAATTCCAGACTAACAACTACCTTTCTCATGTCACCACCTGAATGTCCACTAGGTATCTCAAATCTATATTCCTGAAACCAGAGGCCTGATGATACAAAACTGCTCGTCCTTCGTTCTTCTCCTCTCCAATAGTGGCAATTCTGTCTTCTCAGGCTCCTACGCAGAAATCACCGGGGTCATCACTGATTCTTCCCATTTACCCATATCCTACTTCCAAACTGTTGGCAAGCCTTGTTGGATCTAGGAGTATAATACATAAAAACTCCCACCACTTCTCTTCACCTCCCAGCTCGCTGGTCTATGGGACCTGCCCCCACCTATCCCCAGGTGATTATAGTAGCCTTCTCACTGTTCTCCCCACCTCTGTCCTTATGCTCCAGTACTCTCTTCTCATCTATGTGGCCAGGGTGACCTTATTAAATGTATATTGTGTCATCCTAATGTGCTGTTCCATACAGAAACCATGTTTTGGTAGTGAAGTTGAAACTGAAATTAATTTAAATGAATGCAACTTAAAATTCAGGTCTTCAGTCATACTTGAAACTCAAGTCCTAAGCCACCTTTCAAGTGCTCCATAGTAACAAGTGGTGAGTGACAATCCTGCTGGACAATGCGGATATAGAATGTCTCCATCGGTTCAGAAAGTTCTATCAGAGCATTGTGGTGGTTTCCCATTGGGCCCCAAGTGATCTGGCTCCTTCATCCACTCCCCACGCCTAATCTTTCCAACCTCATCTCCTTCCCCTCTGCCCTCACTCATTCAGCTCCAATTTCACTGGCTTCCCAGCTAGTTCTTTAACGGGCCAAGTATCATCCTGCTTCAGGTCCTTCGCAGCTGCTCATCTGTCTCCTGGAGTCATCTTCCCCCTGATATCTTCATGGCTTGCTGTCAGGTCTCTGCTAAAATATCAGGTTATTAGAGAGGTTCTGTGACCACCCTAGTTAAAACAGCAACCCATCAAAGTCTTTAACCCTCTTAGCACTTACTCAGATTACTTTTTCATTTAGCATTTATCACCATATATTTACTTATTTTTCTCTCTCCTCCCATACTCCTTGAAATATGAGCTGCACAAAGGACAAGATTATTATTTTGTTTTATTCTAAGCATCTAGTGTACTTTCTGGCAGACTGCAAATGAAAGAGAGAATAAATGAAAGCATGAATTGTGTTTGATTGCACAGGAAGCAGTGGCTGGGACAAGCTGTGGAAAAAGTACGGATCACGCTTACCCCAGGATGACCTGTGCCTATATGTCACATCAGATGACCTCACTCAGATGCTGGACAACCTAGGGCTTAAGTATGAGTGCTACGACCTTTTGTCCACGTTGGACATATCTGATTGCTTTACTGATGGTAATGAAACTGCAGACCTGCTTTGGGATTTTTGGACTGAAACCTGCAACTTTAATGCCACAGCACCACCTGATCTCAAAGCAGAGCTTGTGAAAGATCTACAAGAGCCTGAATTTAGTACTAAGAAAGAGGGGAAGGTTCTTTTTAATAATAATCTGAGTTTCATAGTGATTGGGGCATAATTATCAATCACAAAAGTATATTCAAAAATTATATTTTGAACAACTCTGATTGCTCATTTATTTCCATATTAAAATTACAAACACATACGTTAATGTAGATAAAGCACTGTTTGGATATGAGAAGTAGTGAATTCCAAGACATTATTGGACTTCCATTTGGAATCATATGGAACACTGGTGGTCTTATCCTCCCTCCTCCAGGAAGAGAGACCACATGCAGGCTCAACATAACATAAGCTAGAAAAATTAGATGACTGAATTTCTATGGCATATTGATAATAAAATTCATTCCATTTGCTGATTGTCTGAAATTTTCTAGAATAATAATAAAATATATACTATAGATTCTTTATTAGTGAAGTATGCACTTATCAATACTTTGAACACAAAGCCTGTGTTACTGATTTGGCCATTTTGTGAAGCAATATTTCTCTTTGTACATTCTTCTATTGTACCTTTTGTCTCACTTTTATTAATTTTTATGAGTAAGCACCTTTAGAATATTAAAAATTAATTCTTTATCATGTGTTGTCATTTCTTCCCATTGTGTTTCTCTTATAATTTTATCTGTGAATTCATAGCTTTTTGTTTGTATTTTTGATATACTGGAGTTTTCTATTATATTCAGCAAAATTTTTTAAAGTCTGGGCTTTGACACATTTTAAAAGAGCTTCTAAAACCAAGGTTTTAGAATACTAACATTTTATCAAAATATTATAGTTTTGTTTTTTTCAAAAAATGAAATCTTTAATATGTTTGAAATTTAGGTAAGTATAACAGTGAGAACAAACTGTTTCCCCTCAAAATAATAGCCAGATGTATAAACAAAATTTATTGAAGAACAAAAAAACACAAAACTAAAACCTGTTCTAGCTTAAAATGCACCTTTTACCAGATTTCTAGGAATTGCATAAATGCAAGATTCTAGAAAACCTTCAATGCATTTTGATACTTTATAGTTTCTTATGTCACTCTTAAGACCTCCTGTAAGACCAAGAGTCATTTGGACTGTAGGATTTCAGGGGGGGGTTGAAAACATATTTGATGTTTCTTATTTTTAATAATAACCCTCTATCATTTTTTACATAAACAGTACATATCTTTAGATAAGTAAATAGCTAATTTAATAATTAATAAATAAATATTTTAAGTATGCAAATAATTAGTACTCCCTGTCAGAAACAAAACAAAAGTAAGGTTTTACTAAACAGCTCATGAGCCCTCATTCTGCCAATGAGGAAGCCTTCAACC